GCTTGCATCTTGTAAGTTTAATATCAGAGGTGCTAATGGTTTGGCTTTGGGGTGGAGATGTGGGACTAGCCTGGTGTGTTGTGACACCAGGATAACCTGTCATGAGAGCAGAGTTTCTGGGGGTACCTTTTCTCCCAGACAGATGCAGTGAGGAAGAGAAACCGTCATCAGCCCTTGAGAGGTTTTTCCTTGAAGCTAAATTTGGTTCTAGTGAAACTTCTATCACTTTTCTGCTTAATTAAACCTCTTTTTTTTCTAGAGGGGGCTCAGAAGAGGTTTCTATCCAAGTGCCAAAAACCAGAGGGAGCCGTTCTTGTGGAAACTGGAGCCCAGTAGGGGAAATAGCAGAGGTCTTACAGCAAAGCTGCCCCGTCCCTTCCTGCAGCCCCTCTGTGCAGGATGGGGAAGCAAACATCCGGGATTTATCCAAACCACCAAGTATTTGTAGCTGACTCATGACTGTGTGTGATTCAATTTTTTTTTTTTTTTCCTAGCCCTTCCACTATTGTCTTCCTATTTTGTAATGCAAGATACAGGGGCTGATGGGGGTGATGAGGAATTGTCTGTCTTCAGGGTGCTTTTTTGTTGGTGGTTTGGTTGTTTGGTTTGGTTTGGGTTTTTTTGTCTGACCCTGTGGCTGCAGTTTGGCTTCTTTTCTGGAGCATTTGAGTTTAAACAAGGGATTCTGGGATGATGCTGGTACAATGAGAGATGCACTGATGCTCTGAGCAGTTATGATACTGCTGACTTGGGGTCTTGCTGCTTTGGCAGAGCCAGGGGTGTGGTGAGCTCTGGGTCACCTCTTGCTTCCCTTCTTCACTGACTTCTCCAACACCACTCTTATTACTCCAACCTATATAGACAAGGAGCTGCTTGGACCTCCAGAGCAGGGCAGCTGCTTTGTCCTCAGCAGAGATCCTCCATCCATGGGCCAGTGCTGATGACAGGTTTTATCAAGTGGAATGTCTGAGGGCTGACAGGCTGTCTCCGAGACACGGGATTAGGTTTTTTGGAAACTCACTGGTGACTGGGATCTCTTAAGCTTCTACTTCATCATAGAGCTTCAATGAACTTCTGCCACCCTTAAGCCACCTGTCTAGGTTTGCATAGTTTGTCATAATAAAACTCAGCAACATTCCAATTGCTTCCAATAATTTTTGAAAATTTTTGTGTATTACAATTGTATATCCTGGGCCTGTGGTTATCCAATTGAAATGTAGGAGTTTAAAAAGACACATCAAGCAGTATTTATTCTTATGGACATCAAGAATCTCCAAGTCTCTGAGACAGTGCACTAAAACAACAGTCCAGTTAATTATTAGTGTATTGCAGTGAGAGCCCCAAAGCATCCCAGTAGTTATGGAGCTGCTGCCAGTGTGAGATGAGGTCACTCTGGTTATCCTCGCCAGCTGTTTGTTTTGTTGAACCACAGTGATTTCTCCAAGTTACTGAAGTTGATGTCATTGGAAGTGATGTGACATTTTTGCACACATATAGAATAAGTGTTAAAAAAATGCTGGGAGCTGGCTGGGGAGTTGAATTAAACTGGCTTGATGGAACTTAATCTGTAAAGCAAATGAGTCATCAGGCATAAATGGCTTTACCATAAATGTCAGACAGATTCTTACTGGTCCTGACAGTTAGCACTTACACCTGTTTGGTGGAGCAAATAAAAGCCTCACAATTCAGTCATTTTCATAAATGTGCTGTCCTGCCTCTTCCTCTTAATGAAAAGCTCTAAGAATAAAGTTTAAAATGTGATTTATTCCCCTTTTAAAAAAACTAGCTCTTCTGATGGATGAAATATTGGTTATTTTCAGGCAAAAACTGACCTTTTTTTCTTCACTTCAATTTTTTTTTTTTTTGGTCAAACCAGGAAAGCACAACTGTGCCTTGCCTCTGCATCCTGAGAAGTACCCCAGTTACTGGCGCACTTGAGTCCTGTATGCCCAGATGTGCCCAACTAGTTCACGTGTCAAAAGAGGAGTTTACCCACTGTCTGCATGGGTGGCTGGGGCTGGAGGACACTCTGCTGGTGACTTCTTCATTGAAGAAGTACCAGTGTGTTACTGACTTGCTCCCTGACTTAGATACTTCTTTATTTGATAGTAAGTCTTAAAAACCTAAAGGATTTGGCTGGTAAAGTCTTTAAACAACTCTCTTAGTGTAATTTAAGTTTTTCTCTCTTACAAAGGCTTCATGGAAAATCTATAGCTGTTGCATGTATGTGGAGAGAGGAGGCTGGAAATTAATAGTATCTTCATTATCTCTGCTCTTGCTGAAAAAACAGATGCTGACATAGGAAGGAGAGAGGCTTTAGGTGTTTTGTGTAACCATAACAGTGAAACAAATAGACACTTGAGCGAGGAAAGGGAGCGGAGCTGGCTGCTGCCTTTGTCAGCCTATGCTGGGGATGGGGGCAGCTATCTCTTGGTGAAATTTATTAGCGGCAACACACTTGAGAGGACACAAAAAGCTTGTGAACCTCCCAGCATGGTTTGCTCTATTTAAAAGTCGGCTTTTTAAATCAAAGAAATGGGGCTCTTGACAGCAGAGCTTTGTGCATCTTTTGTGAAGTTCAGATAGTGGGGCTTTTTTATTACAGGCTAAATTAGCCTATTTTATTGTTTTGCCCTGAGGAATGAGGTCATTTGACTGGGAATCTTGCTAACAAGGTTTTACTCCTCTCTGTTTTTTTACAAGTGTTAATATGGGGTATCCACCAGTGCCGTGCACTTGCTGTTAATGAAACAAAGATGAATGGTCTAGCCAACCCTATGAGCTCTCCTTCTTCCACCACCACTGAGCTCCTCAACCCATGGCAGTGTATTTGAGCTCAGATGATCCCTGGGGCTTTAATTTCTCTAAAATCCAGTGCGTTGGTTTTCCTTCTGAAGTTGCACACTGCTGCTGGAACAACAAGATAAGGATCAACTTTGCTGGGCAGGGTGATTGATTTGATTTGAAAAGGAAATGGGAAAATGTTGAATGATGCTCATGAAGCATGGTGAGGTCTGAAGAAGCTGTCTGACACGGCTTGTGCTTTTTCCTGGCACCTTTCACATACCAAATTTATTCAGTTATGCACCGATTTTCTCAGGTTCTTGACCCAGAACTAGCAGGAAGCTTCCTTCGTTCATTTTCCCCTGCTCACTCATCAGTAACCACTGGGCCAACACTGTCCTTTGGTGTGTTGAATGAGGTTGGGGTTTCTGCCATGGCCGCAAGACTGGAGCCTCTGGCTCTTGGGATTTGCAGGGGATGTCTTTCCATGTATTCAAAGGTGCTGTCAATGCCTTGAGCCATCAGACCCAGAGGATACTCAGCTACTGTTGTGCTGAAGGGAAGCAGGGTGGGATCAAGCCAGGATTTCTCCCCATTCATAGCTCAGGAGCTGCCATCAGCTGAGACTAAAAACAAACTCAGGTTTAGCAAATTCTCTTCTGCTTAACCTTTTGCACTGTGCTTAGCCAACATGCCTTTCTTTGCTTTATCTCTTCCTTGAGGAAACACAGTTATAGTCCTGGTCACTTATAGGATGCAGACTATCAGCTCTCCTTGAGGTGTAAATCCAACCTTATCAGGGAGAAAAAGCTTTCAGCCTTCCTTCCTTGCCTCTTGGAGACAAGTAGCAAATCTGCTCTTGTGGCTGTTTTATTTCAGTTTTTCCTAACAGTGCTGGACACTCCCCATAACCCTGTGGAAACCAGGGAGCTTTAACCACCTAAGTGAGAGAAGAGTGTAAATGGCTTAACTCAGGTGTCATGAGAGGCAGGTGTGATTGAGGTCCTGTGTGCAGAAATAGCAGCTGGAAGGATCTTCATATCATTAACTTGAAGCAAATTGCCTTGGCCAGGTTGGACATCCTCCACTGGAGCGAGCTCCAAAGGGGCAGCCTGTTTGGTTGCTCTGAACTGCCTTTGAAAACAGGGATTATAATATATGGTGAGAGTGACCCCGTAATGCCCCCAGCTCCATCAAGTCTCTGCTCAGGGCTGGGCAATGTCCTCTAGGTCACACCATGGCTGAGCTACCCATGCAGGTCACATTGTCAGGTGGTGGCCAGAGCTGGTTGGAAATGGAAAATGTTCTATGAGGCAAAAACTTGGTGATTTCTGTTTTCCCAATATTGCATCCCTGCTTTTGGTGGTTATGTTGAAAAAGAAAAAAACAGAATAGTCATGACAGAGTTGCTCAATGGATTTATCAAAAAAAAAAAAAAAGGGGGGGCCGGGGGGAGGAGGAAGAAGAGGAAAGACTGTTGCTCTTTCTGAAAATAGAAAATTGAAAACCACTTTTCAGACATTTCTGTTAATTTTGTAAAGGTTAGTCACAGGAAACAATGGCTATAAGCTTAAACCAACGCTCAATTTTAAGGTAACTTGCCTAGCATCTGAAAGGTGCTGCAGAGAGGGATATGACAATCTGGAAATCAAGGGGGGAAAACCCAGGCGGCTGTAACATGCCCCTGCCCCTTGGAGCTGGGCAGGATGCAGTCAGGTCTGCATGGACCTTTTAACCTTCTTTCCCAGTAGATCTCTGCCAAAAATAGAAACGGAGATATTTTGTTGTTTTTTTGGCCTTTTTTTAAGCACTGAAAGGGTTCTCAGGCACTGGAATGGGCTGCCTAGGGAGGTGGTGGAGTCACCATCCTTGGAGGTATTTAAAAGAGGGGTAGAGGAAGTGCTCAGAGTTATGGTTTAGTAGTGGACAGGTAAGATTGGACTTGATGGTCTCAAAGGTCTTTTCCAACCAAACAGTTCTATGATTCTATAAGTGGCTGCTTGACCCAACCCTGGACACATGGCAGGTTTTTACTGGGCTCATCTCAGGTGATGTACCCACATCAGGGAGGTGACCAACTGTTCTGCTTTTCATTTCTTGGTGGTGTTTTATACCCCCTGACCATGGTCTCAGGTTGGTGGCTCCACCATCCATCCCGGTGACACTCCATGTTTTCTTCCTGTAGGGTGATATCCAGCAGCTCCTCATCGTAGCAGACCCCCGAGCAGCCCACGATTACTGTGAACACTACAGCCCTGACTGCGACACCGCCATCCCCGACTCCCCCCAGTCCCAGGACCCCAACCAGGATGAATACGTAAGTCTCTTGCAGGGTTTGGGGATGCTTTTGGGGCAAGAGCATCCAGCTCTCTGTTGCTGTTGCAAACGCATTCAGCTTCTTCCTCCCATTCAGCTTCTCTGCGACTCGTCTGTAGGGGCTGAGCTTGGTTTTAGGATTTGCAGGTTCTGGTCTTGGCTCTTGCCCTTGGGAGTTTCCTTTTCTTTCTGTGACCCTCCCATGTCCAGAGACTGAAATGAATATTCACTTGGAGCTTAGAAACTTGCAACAGAGACAACCTAAGCAGAGTGTGAAATACTGACCTTCTGCTGCGGGTCGAATTCTGTCCAAAACAGGCACCTGTTTCTAAATTCCAAATTTTACTGTTGAACTTGTGAAAAGATTAAGCAGTTATTTTTAATATTCTTTGAAGCAGCAGGTGTTAAAGGAGGGGGAAACATTTTTACTCATGTATTTGCCATTTGAACTTAATTTTGGCAGAAACACTCCTAACTCATCTGTACAAGCTGCCGTGTACAATATTTTTGCTGCAGTTAGCTTCAGATCTTTTCTTTAAAAAAGAAAAAAAAAAGACTGATACAGGATACCTTTTTATTTCTGTTGCTCAATTGGAAATGTCTGCGTGTGGCTGATTTCCAGAAAAGCATCACCTGAATTTTACACATTTATCAGAGGTCTCGGGCTCAGCTCACAGCAATTAGTGTCTGGCATCCTCAACCACTTCTCAGTGTCTTGGCTGCTCTTTTGGTCTGATTTGCCGGTCCATACACTCTTGCTTTCAGCTGGTCTTGGATCTGCAGCCTC